TGATCCATGTTGCAGAAATGACTATTTTGGCAACATAATAAATGCATTTCCGGTAGCAACTCTAAGAATTTTTTTACCGCAAAATTTTGAAAGGTTTTTTTTGCAATGCACGGTTTCTGAATGATAGGGATAATAGGACTGTCGCCAGCAGAATATAACTCACACGATGAAGACAACGATGACGCCAAAATAATTAGTTCAGCCAGCTTTTATGCAACTAACGTCAGACTAATCACAGATAAACCTCATGTCAAGGCGAGTACTCAATGGTGAGGGACTACCTTATACGCGCTTTTTTTAAAGCAAAAAAAAACACATAAGTGTTATGTGGCATGCATTTGTACGTCTTAAACAAATATCAAGTGCTCCGCAAGTGTAGTATCAAATTAAGAAATACAAAGCATTTAATTAAGAAAAACAATATTGTAGTGGATACTCTCTGCTTCTCTTCCATTACGTTGGCCTTCGTAGCCCATTACGTACCGGCAATCTCCATTATAGCAAATGCAAAACGGATGTAAAATTAGGTACAAAACCATTTTTAGAAAGGTATTTCAGAATCAAATTGAAAATGAAAAAAAAAAATTGAAAAAAAGTATGACTGTAATCATCAAATCAAATCGCCAGTGCAATTACCCTCTCGCGATCGGTACGTTTAATTTCCCCTTTAAAGTTCACCAAACATAACAAAATAGATCTTTCGCAGTACTGTTTACCTCTGACAAAAATTTTAAGTGTTCAGCCATATGTAGATTTGGTCGAGCCTGGCCTAGATCTGATCCAGGCTCAGGCCAATCGTTGCAAGTCGGACCAATTTAAGCAATTCTGCTCTTAAAGGGAGATAAGTGCACTTTCACTCCCTGTTTTTTCGACTGAAGAGATTCGTTCTGAGATAACGATCGTAAGAGGTAGTGTGGCGCAAAATTGGTCGCGCAAATTATACTGTGGTGCGGACTGGGTGTGGTGAACGGTTAGTAATACGTAAAAATTGGGGCGCGTATAACAGAACCCCTTATTTAATGATTGATAGTTTCAGCTGTTAAAAGTATGGAGATTGGTGTAAACCTGACCTGAAAATCGTTTTTTTGGCATTTAATGTTATAATCCTAAAAACCAAGTAAGGTAGTGAATAAATTCACTGGCTAATGTTGTGTCCTATACGAGTCTAATAAAATGTATTGATACGCAAATGAATCTGTGTAAAGTACGCAGATTACGTTTATAATCACAAAAAATAGTGGATACATGATATTGATGCTGTGCAAATTTCGGTTAGGGACGGTCCATACCGTGTTGAAAGTTGAAGTCGGCACCCTGCTATGTCAAACCTTTGAGTAGTGGCTGTCGAATGAGATCAACGTTGAAAAAAAGGTGGATTAGAGAAGAGTAGAACAACCCAACCTAGCCAACCAACAATGTCAGAATTTTTTTTTACATTGCTTGCAACACCTTCTCTTAGCCTAGCTAAATGGCTAGCGAACAGGATTTATTCTCTCATTGGGAGCTAATGACGAGACTCACACGGCAAAGACTCCACTACGGCCGGTCACGAAATGTCCGCGGCCGCGCTTGTCTTGGCCGTCTCTCTAACCAATCCAGCAAGAAGCGCGGAGCCCGACACTAGCGAGCGTTATCAACATTATACGGGTATGAATCTGCGAACGTAGAAGACGGACGCGTCGCAAGCACGCATGGACGATGACGAGCGCATGTGTGGCGCCCAAGCGAGATAACTTTTCTGATCAGAGCTCGGGCGGACTTCACAGGGCTACTCCATAGAGTAGTGATAAATCTAGCATTATAATTAGCCTCAGCAGCAAGCATGGCGCGCAACAACACGGATCGACGTTCTACGTGTGCGATCGAGACAGCAGCCACAGAAGTGTGCGTATCCATTGCCTCAGTCGCCAGCTCCACTGCCACCAATGTAGTCGCCATCAGCTTCTCAGGCGATTGCAGTAGCTCAATGGAAGTCGGGGCAGAAGCGGCAACAAGTGACGCCGATGCAGTATTGCACTCAGGATGCGAGGCATCGCAAGCTGGTATTCAACAAGTTCGATGAATTCAAGTTGTACGTCGAACTTGGGTCAGGCTTCTTCAACTGGACTGGGGCAAGTCACTTAGCGCCAGGTCGACATGGCGGAGTCTTGCGGCTTCTTGAGGAGCGAGAACGTGTAGAGCGACGTGCTCGGGCAGTGACTCACTGGCACTACCGAGTAGTACTTCAACAAGCAGGTCCAAACGTGAACGGCCGTACTGTCGACTTTGCAGTGTGTTATGCAGCGCATGCTGAATAATTTCGAGACGACGGTCACTTTCGCTTAAGCGATTTAGCTCTTTACAGAAACGAAAGTGAGCAAGAGGTCCTGGCCAGAGCACTACTTGTAGATGGCGCCGAGCAGCAGTTTTTTAAACACCATCGTGTGATACGCCTCACCTGAGATGGCGTCGATTCTTACGACGAAGTAGTAGACGCAGGGCATCGACTCCCTCTTGAAAGCGGAAGGGACAGCGCACTTTACAACAGTATTTCAGATGAAAGCTCGATCGAACGATTCACTGGAAAGGAGGTCGTCGCGCACGTGGAAGAGTCTGCGTCGGGCAAGAAGACACGCATTTGCGACGGATGTGGGAACTTCAGCCACCTGAAGATAGAGGGTCATAGCTAGAATGCCGAGGACAATAAGAAGTGTAAAGGTTCCAAAGGCGGCGGCAGCATCGTGTTAGCCGTTGGCGAAGGAAGAGGTCTCCACAGCTCTTGTGCCACCAGACTAGGATAAACGTTGGCGATCAGCTACGGCAACGACGTCAAGGATTTCGACTAAATTCTCGACAGCGGATTAGCCACCACCTTATCAACGACTCATTCCTGCCTCCCCACGTGCGGGACGTAATTAAGAGTGCCACTTGGAAGATGTTGAGTCCAGTTAATCTGATACAATGTGAAACCGTCGTGCTGACTACGCTCGAGAGAGTACGGCCGCAAGGTTTGAAGCCAAAATCTTGTATCTGGCGCCCGAGATGTCGTGAAACATTATGGCCTACGGCAAACTCGATCTAGGATTTCGGTGTTATCTACATAGGTGACTAGCGCGTGTTGGCGTGGCGAAGCAATGGCTAAGTCGCGTTCGACGTGGTGATGGATCACAGTGTGCTCTACGTACAAACTGTAGCAGCGGCTCGCGGCCAATATCGTACCGAAACGTGCTCATAGCAATCCTGACGATCCCCTCAGCTCCGGAAGAGCCTGAGTCGGACACGCAAAGCGGCTCGCTGCTGCAATTGTACCAGAGGCTTAAACATCTCACGTACGGAACGTCGAGCGCATGTCGAGGGACCAAGCGTCCAGTATTGTGCTTACTGATTGAAAGCGCCCAACGTGCATCTATTATACCTAGGGCAATAAGAAGATGGATGTACACCCGAAGAAGATCACTGGCGAGAACTCTTTTGTCGACAGAGTTGGCGAGGTGATTTGCTCGGACCTCAAAAGTTCCTAAAATTCGAAAGATCGATTAAAGAATCGTTACCTCGTCAGCTTTTTCGATCACAAGTCGAATAAACCTATCACGTTTTCCTCGCGCGACCAGTGAAAAGGCAGACGAGAAGTTTAAGCGCTTCCTCACTGTCTTCACATGCCAATTCATCTTTTGGATCCACGTGATAAGCACTGAAAGCGGCGGCGGATGCGCTCATGTTGACCACTTTTGCAAGTGGACAGGCGTCGCGCATCATTCCAGCAAAAAAAAATCGGCGTCAAACAGCAAGTCCGAGCGCATACAGTGTACGATCCTAAACATGGCGCACAGCAAAATCTTTGTCAGTCGACTATCAGTGATGTTTTGATTTGATGCGGTGGAGTACGCGGCGTAAATCATCAACCGCAGTCGAACAAGCTCGAGCGCAAGACGCCCATCGCCAATTGAGGTACTGAAGAAGTACCTCCGGACCTGCGCAACATCGTCGCCTTCGGCTCTATCTGCTTGGTCTACCGTAATTCAGTCAGGAACTAGCTCGTGCAGCGCGCGCAAGCCGTTTTTTTTCGGACGAAGCGACAAGATAATGGGCTTTCGCGTCTTCCTGCAAATAGGGACCAGTGACACGGTCACGCAGCATGTGCGCAACGCTAAGTCGCTAAGCGAAGAGAAGAAATGACAGCTGCGGCGCGTGCTCGAGTACGAAGATCGAGCAATGGGGCCAGCAGCGACAGCATCAACAACCTTAGCAGCCTATCTTCTAAAAAGGCCCTATAGCCGACGATGAGTAGCGGCAAGAAGATGAGGATGTCGTTAACGCGCACGGCTAAACAGAAGCGCGGTGCAACCAAACGTACACAGGCGGCCGAATCCTGTGTGCGAATATAATCGCAAGAACGACTAGGAAGCGCTCTGCAGCACCAGCGAAGGCTAGAAACAGACAATGCGCGAAGAGCTACAAGGTTTAGAAGACAACGGCGTGTGGAGCTTGATCAAGCGAAGGCCGGGTTGCTACAATCTGTGACGAAGTTACAGAAAGACCAAGACTGATGCGCAAGGCAAAATCGGTGAAATGTAGCTTGGAAGACTCGGCAGGTCGCCTGCGGTAAGAAGAAAGTTATCGGGATCGATTACTAGCTAAACTTCGCGGCCGTCATGTACATGTCGATTGTAAAGGTGATCGTGGCGCTTACGGCGACTTGGGATGTCTCGGCGGAGCACATTAATATTCTTCTCGCGTAATTTAGGCTGACGAGGAAGCGCACTTATGGATAATAATTCAGGGCCGTAGGCGACGGATATCAATAAAGAGGTGCTAAAGTTGCTTACCGCAGTGACATTGAATGAAGTTGTGATATAGCTACAAACAGTATTGTACGGCCTCAAGCAATCTGTTCGACTCTGGAACAGGTCCTATACGCTGAGCTGCTTAGGACATGCTTCCGGCAAAGAATCTACGACATGTGCCTCAACTGGAAATTAAGAGGCGGACATTTAATCGACGTGAGCATTGGCATCTACAATCTAGTCTCCACCGGCACCGACGCTGCAGTCTTTGACCGCTTCTCCGTCAATATCGGCAGCTAATCGCTCAAGGACCTCGGAACTGTCGAAATACAATTCGTTATCGACAACAGTGAAGACCACGTGCGCGACCAGCCTGAAGCGATCACCGAGCTCCTGCGTGATCATAGGCTTTATGGCACGAACTCGAAGAAACCATTCAGCGCCGACTTCCACGACGTGCTATTAAATGAAAATGTGCTTCTCACTTCAACTAATATGGCTATAGTTTCAGTGATCGATGTGTTTCATTCACCCGTCGGCAGTTTGCTGTTGATCGCGCGCTGTACACGGCCGGGAATGCGGTCGCTGTGCTCAACGCGACGCGTTAGACTCATTAGCCTCGCCTTCAAGAAATGAAGCTGGCCAAGCGCCTTGCGCGTTACCTGAATGACACGCGTGCCTACAAGTTTCGCACAAAGCTAGTAAAGGATTTCAAAGGCAAGATCCAGCTCGAGGCGTACTCGGACGCCGACTTTGCGGCGGGGTAAAAAGACAGGATGTCAATGAGCAGCGGCATCATCAGCACAAACGCCATGTCGTACAACAAGACGTCGAAGAATCTGGGCGGCCTCTAGCTCTCGACGATGGAAGTGAAAATCGTCGTTGCATCAGATCAGGCGCGCAAGATGCTCGGCATCAGGTAGATGATGAACTGGATCGGTAAGCCTTTAGCGCTGCCGATGTTGCTTCACGCCGACAATCTGGCGGCACAAAATCATCTGTCCGGCAAGGCGTCATTGCTAAAGGCCAAGACATCGAATTCTGCATGAAGTTCGTGTGCCACTACGCTTGACGTGAGATCATCGAGTTGCATTACGTCCGCTTGAAGCAACAACTCATGGATTTTCTAACAAAGGCGCTGGACGCAATCGAACTCGCTGCACTGTGTGAGTAGATCAGCCTCTGAAACGTGGGTCTGGACGCCAAGCCGCAGCTGAACAGGAGTTTTGAAACTTAAAGTTGGCAATTCACTGGGTTCGGACCCGATGAAGTAGTGCCACGGACTGAGATCCACGCTGGACATATATAAGGGTAAACGAGAGAGAAGAGTAGAACGAAACAAGCTAGCACACTAACCTTTCAACGGAGTTACACGCGGTTATAAAACTAGTTGTGTTGTGTGTCCGCACCAAGTAAAGCTCGGTGGGACTGAGGGTGCAGTCTTGGTACCCCGTACTTACGGTGATACCGCCCCTTGTTGCATAATGAAAAAGGGATCAGATATCTGTCATAAGATCGTTATGTAAAAGTCAGTCGGACAAGGTTTTAGGGTTGTGTTACGGTAGCTAAAGAATAAATACAGCTAAGTTTCCCTGTTGAAGCGGTGGACACGAGTGCCTAGTCAACCTAGTTTTTGTAAGAGCCTTAGCCTGGTTGAGGCGTTTACTCTTGTGTATCTAACAGTCTCGTGCGATTCTGTGAGTCTTAATACATTTGGAACCGGCATTGTTAACCTTGTACGCTTGAACGACCGTACGTAGTTGTAAGTTTGTTAGAAGTAAGAGACTTTTTGAGTCTTCTACGTCCTCAGCTAAGGAGCGCTAAGTAGCTGCACTACACTTGGTAGCACTTGTAGTCAATCTACACTTGAGTCTTCACATACTGGATCTTCTGCGAGTATGTAAAACAAAATTGAACCTCTCTGAGGCACAGCATATCCCAATGATATGCATAAGTAGTTGATCGGGAACGAGAAAGCGGCTCGCTATCCTCTGGAGTTCGTTGTGCTACCTCGGACAGATCTCTTACGTGCATTCCTCCAATCGTATTGCAGCGACGTATCATTCCCCTTGCTATCCGATGGAAATTGTTCTGCTACCGCTAACAAATCTTTTACGTGCATTCCTCTAATCGTACTAAGATAATCGTTTTGCCAATTATTGCAAATCGGTTCATTTTCACTTTTGTTTGACTGTGTAAAGAATTTCCATGCCCCAGTACACTCGGCTTTTTCGGGTGTCGGGGCTTTGGGTGCTCCGCACCTACTGACCCTATATTTTTATGCTGTATGTTACGTTGTTGCATCTTCGTAGCATCATTGGACCCACGCCTTGGACCCCGCTTGGCCCCTTGGCGGTTACTGATTCCTAAGATACGTGGTATCGCGATGGGAGCACTACATTCTTATGAATGAATTTTAATCTTCTGGCATCTACTGCATGTTTGCAATTTCTTAAAATCTTTATCACGAGAGCTCTCGATACCCGCGTGACAGATGTCCATTGGTTCTGGGCCTTTATTCTCCTGACTTCTGTACGGATGATAGAAATTTTAGGTCGCGTGGGCCTGGTTCACGCTGAATTGTTCCTGTTTCGCGAACACGATTGCCTCTTTTAAGGTGTTAAAGTCCCCCCGAAACAGGTAGGTTTAACGAAACCATCAGTCACACCGTGCATGGAAAACGTAATCAACGTTTGTTTATTCATTTGCTCGACTTTTGCGCAGCTGATAAGGCAATGTATGTACTGAATCTACGAGTATACGTCACGTTTACCTTGCTTTAGTTTCAGGAGGTCAGAGCGAACCCTCAACTCAGCTTGCGGCGGCTCAAATGTTTGTCTAAGCAGGTACTTGAAGACTTTCAGCTACTCAAAGCCAAATTTGTTGTGTAACTTAAGGACAAGGCCCGCGTCTTTACACGCCCTGCCTAGTTCAATTGAGCAAATGCGATCTGTATTCGCTCATCGACGTTATATTGAGCCTTAACGGCATCTTCTAGTTTTACGAACCATCTCAAAAGAGAGCCTACATTGGATCTCTTGTAATTTGAGATGCCAATACTAAACGGTCACGGTCGACGTGTGTACGTTGGCTGGGTAGAAGCTGCCGGCTGCCCCAACACTTCAAACTGTTTAGCAATGCGTTCTCGCAACAGATCCGTCTGTTAAGAGCCTTGTAGATGAAGCAAGGATTCTACTTTGCGCTCGACTTCAATTTTGGTATTATACGCTCAAAGATAGTGGAAAGCTTTCCTCTGGCCTCAGGTCGGACAATACTTGCGCCAACGTCTTCTCGCCATATCGTCGAACTTGCATGTTCTATGGCGTTATTTTCGATTTGACTCAACAGAGAGTATATTTTGTGCGTGGGATGAAAATCATACCCCTTGTCGTACAACATGTTCATGATCGTTGAACGTACCACGAAGTGCTACAAGGTGTAACGGGACACACCTAACTCCGCTGCTGGATAAACCTTGCAATGCTGACAGTGCCACGATGTGTGCGTCTAAATATTTAACGTACACTAACGTGAAGAAGAAGTTTGCTATATTGAGTGTGGGTACTCAGTAAAGGCAAAAATTCAGCTTTAGTGTAGCTAATCCTTTTATGAGTCTCTATTTGACTTAATTTAATTATGATTAAATGCAAATATGTGTTGTGACTGTCTGCCCACCACTCATTGCGTACTTCTGTAGTGTCAGCCAACAGCTTAAAAGATCGATAGATATTAACTTCGATAAAATACAGCCACTTTTCCTGCTCAGTGAGGCAATGTCCAAGTCGGAATGCGCAGTCACTCTGTAATCTCTTGGAACGGATCATTTATCAGGTGTATCAAACCTATCACCGATGTGCTTTGCATGATGAAGTGGTGCATCTTGTCCTTATAATGGATTAAACACAATTGACGAAGTTATGTTGTGGCGGCTACAGATATCACATCCAACCATGTACAATACATGGACGCCTTCTCAAATCACAACAAGAGTTGATGTTTTGCGTCCAGTAAGGGTCGATGATGCCACCCAAATTGCAATTCAGTGCAGCCACGAATATTAAATACTGATGCTTACAAACTTTGGATACAAGTGGCAAGTGCCCTGCTTGGTTGATGAGCAGTAACAAGAATTAACGATGACCCAAGTTTGCTGCCGTCCTCGTGAAAAACTGTCGAATTATTGACGTTATTATGTAAAGAACAAGTTTCACTTCCAGACCTTGGCTACAAGTTGCATCTGGTTGGATCTTTTAAAGCACAAGTACATGCACCACGCACTTCCGTACGAACGGTCCAGCTTCAAGACTTGTCAAACCCGGGTCAAACCCGGGTATTGAAATGAAAGAATCATATTTTTTAAGATTCAACGACAGCGCGACAGTCGCACAATTTCTCTACGTACTTCGTGCCAAGTCAAAATGCTGACCTGCTGTATAGAAGATATCGGTATTCGCAGGCATTGAGAACGTAGCATGTAAGACAAGGAGTCCTTTTGCTTCAGTAAATCAAACAACCCCATGCTGCTGTTCAGATTCGTTAACGATTAAAGGCAGGGTCTTGCGATGCTCCTGCGAATGCCTGATGCAAAATGTGAGGGTTGAGTCAGTTGCTCCTGCAGTCATCGATGCGTAATGTTTCAAATTAAAGCGTCATGAGCCTGTATCCAATCGCGATACAGGTCTCGTATCCTTCACCAATTATCCTTAAAAACATGCGGACGTTTAGCAGCGAAGCAGCGTCCCGGAACTTTTCACTACCATGAACGTCTGCAAAACCCGCTAGTCAAATGAAGGGGTATAGCGCGCCTAAGTTGCCTTCCATTCCATCGGAGTAGATAGGAATGCCTCCTATCACGGTAAGATATTCTTCACATTCAATTTTTCCGCCGCCTACTTCTCCACAACAATGTTACCGAGTAGAATCATGACATGGTTCTGTACACACCGCAGTGCGTTCAGCCTCAGTGCAAACAAACGAAAGGGCGCGTCATGCACCGTGTCTTTTTTGTACAATATAAACCGCTCTCTTCGCCAATTGCACACGCACATGTGACCTGGCGTGTAAACAAGTAACAGGACCACGGATATCACTCACACAAGCACCAGGTTCACCCATTTAGTTACCTGCCCTATTCGAAAACTCGTTTGCACCTTTTACAACACGTTGTTCCCGAGCTGATCCAGCTAAAAATGCATTAGTCTGTCTCGTATCACATTGAGCAAGACAGATGCAGCACCAGCAGCGAAAAAAACGAAATTTGACGTGGACAACATGTGTTGGTGTACGCAACATTCCCTAAAAGATCCATTTTTTAGTAAAAAGAAGACAAGCATGCATATTTGTAGCCATGAGCGGGACAGTGCTGACGTCACGCATGCAGCTCGACTACCAATCATTATGTCACGTTATCATAACCAGTCACTTCACGCCTAGTTAATCGTGAATAATACGCTCCTCGCCCTGACATCGTGATGAAGTCACAAATATCTCAGCTCTTGTACAAAAGCGAATTATTTGTGCTAGGCGTAGGTGACAGAACAGACACCAGTACTGTTACCGGCTCATCCAAATTGTCTCTTCCATCATAGGCCGGATCTTGATCCTGTGACGGCCCCTTGCCGCTTCTATACACGCTAAGACATAACGGCAGACGCGCTCCTTGAATTTAACGTCTAAGCCCGTCAAGAATCCCGGTTTGCGACCGCCCAGACTTGTCTTAGACCGGTTTGCCAAAACTGATAAACGCTGCCTTCTACATTTGCACTCCTCCTTTAAGTCACTACTCGATTACGCTGTACTTATAAGATTGTAATACAGTTGCCGATTAGAATTCGCCACATTTGTGCTTAAAGCCCGTCGTATTGGCGCATTACTCTAAAGAAGCTTGTGTGCAATATGATCTACTGCCCCTTCGATAATGCCATGCCAGCGGCTGCCTGCTGGCACTACAAAGTACAAACACCAGCGATTGACCTAGGTCTTTACCTCCATCGTCCAGTGACATTTGATTTTTCCAATATGCCTGCGTGTCGGGGCAGATCCAGAAGATACTCTACAGCTGCTCTATCTCCCCACGCCAGCACCGGACCTTGGGTCATCTGAGGTCCAGCTTCCTTACAAAAATACTTGTATTTAGTTGCCGCACTGCTATTCGATAGTAGACCCTTAACTGGTAATCTGTCAGCTCCGATCCATGTGTCTGTGTCGATGCCGCATTTTGCCAAGCACCGTAACCCACCGCGGTTTCGATACGCCCCACTGTTTGAGCGAGCGTACCTCTTTAGCCTTCGGAATGGTTTTTGATTAAGCGACGGCCCGACGTTTTTGTTCGCGATGAAGTCCGAGGCACTCCAGGAAATCCCGTGAAGAAGCAGATGCACAAAGAAGACAATGTCCTGTGCAACTTGGCGCCCAAGGATCGTCTCACAGTCAGCTACCGTACGCTGATCCGCTATTTTGTGTTTTGCTAGAAAATTTTGTGCTTGACAGGTTTTTAGGCTTTAATGCTATGCCGTGGAATGTTGTCACCTGATTGGCTGATTACCACACAACGTAACATGTGGGACCACGACGGGACGAGGGGAGACGGACGTCATGTGACAGGATGTCACATGGGACAACAAGAGACGGACACCATTTGTGACTTAACATGGTCAAGTTGCAGGTTTCGTTTTGGTCAATCATATCGTAGTGTTGAAGGAGGCATTTCTTAACACCCAATTTACTTCCTACCTCTTTAGCACAAGTGCATACGACGAACACATTACAACTAACATGTTCGGCAGCGATCTAAAAGATACCATCGCTTTCCTGGTCCAGCTTGTTGGACCGTAATCCGATTTTCTGTAACCGTGAGATCGCCGAACCGTCGAATGCCACAGACCTAACTAATTTAGGGCTTAGGCCTGCTTCAGCTTAAGTGTTGCCACTGACGCAGGTTCCCTGAATGTGCATCCAGCCCCTGACCACTTATTCTGGCGCACTTAGAAGTAGCACAATTCCCCAGTCATTGGGTTTGAACTGGCGATGCATGTCACTTTGAGTCGGTGGAAGAAAAAACGAGTTCGTCTGGACCCCGCCTCGATGCACTTCCAGCTCCGCGATAGCCCATTGCTTGATCTCGGAATACGTCCTGGCAGCTTAACCTTTTCCCCGACAATGTTCTACACACAATTTATCTGCGAGCGAGGACGCAGGCCTAAAGATTCCCTTTTTCGTCTCTATTGCTTAAGAGCAGCAATGTAGTGGTCTTAATAGCTCCTCGCTCATCCCTCCTTGGTAGTTGACTAATTGTTGTGGATGATCAGCTCTCGAGCTCTACCATGTACTACTGCTGCTAGAACTTCGGTACTCTGCACATTTAAGAATGCGGCTTTACCTTTAAGATGATATTAGAAAATGGATATCACTGTCACAATGACCCCTTTGTAAAAGGGCCTCACATAAAAGATTACTCGGTTTCCTTTTCTTAGACACACGGGATGTTATCCCAATAAAAATGTATAGAATATCAATTAAAGATGTATCGAATATCAATGAAAGACAAATATAATATTTTGTCGTTCAATGGGGGTTGACGGGTTTTAGCCACAGGATTGAATAGATTTTAAAATTATTAATTTAGGACTTGAGCACCTAGAATTAGTAATTTGTAGGATTTAGATATTCAATAGAGTTAAACATAAATAGTATTAATTTCGTCTCTGGATCTTATCCAGGCACCTGCCTTGCGGGGGCGTCCCTGATCGATGGTTGTAACACTTATCAACACCTCCCTGAGGTAGGTCCTCTTAAGCACTAAGTGCTGTAAATTCACCAAATCGTTTGGTCCTCTGGAACAGGGACCTTAAGCTGAACGCTTGTTGACTCATAGAGTCTAGCTCTTTCGTACTAACACTGTTCGTTCAGCATTAAGTTTTCCTCTGAAAAAGGAGCTGTTTAGCTCCGTTACATCCCTACATTGTTTAGGCGCTGTTCCATACCTACTGTAGCCATGTTCGCACATCTAGGTGTTGTCCGGTCGACGGTTGGGTTCCATTGTATCCAATGAGCGCGCTCCATGTATTTCACACACCAAAGCCCGAGGTGCTAAAAGTCGGAGTGTGAGCGCGGCTAACGCGTCCTGCAGCAACGAGAAGCAACGTCCTGGCATTTATATACCAGTACCAACGAGCATCTCTCGTGTCAATCATCTACTACGATACGATGCGAATGCCGTGACAATGAGGAGCAAGCGGGTGCTGTAGCATGAAAAGTCATTATGCCTCAAAAAGGGCGGTTTCTTAGGTTGGAAGATAGAGTGACGGCTGTACGTAGATCTCCATCGTGTGCACGGGGTATGTGATTAAATATGAGTCGGAAAGGAAAAAGCCCGTAACGGTCGTGTGAAAGAAAGACGACGAGGAGCACGCCCTCCATGACTGACTTGTCGGTAAAATAACCCTTTTGGCATCACTTTAAACAGCTGCTGAAATTGGTGCTACGTGCATGACTGGATCACTGTACTGCTCATGGTTACAGATGGGCTTGCGTATAATTTGCGAGCTTGCAAGAACTTCTTTTGGTGTTCATGAAGACAAAAAACTGTTTGTTTTCTACTGTATCTTTTGCTTGATTAATGAGATACAGGTAGATCTAAAAAACCTTCACGTTAGCACTTCTCAAGAGGTCGTCCTATATATACGGCGAAATACATGGAACATATGTAGGCGCGGGTATACGAGTACTTAAAGTAGTAAAGACCACGGTCCCATTGCGTTTGTACCCGTCGGATCTCACGAAATCATGTAATTAAAGTAAAGAGCATACGCTATGATACAAGAAAGACGCGGCGAGTGACCGACCACCTCATGTAATTCCGGCTGTGCACAAGTAGAAGAAATTCTCATGGAGGAGGAGAACGTGGACGGGAGTGACATCTTTGTGCATTGTGGATTACTGGCAAGAACTGTTCCATCGAATTGTCCATGGGACACGAAAGAAGCTCGTTTAAAGCTTCCTAGCCTTCTGGAAGACCTCGCTCGTCGACATGTACAAATTCGTTGCTCAAAAGAACTGGCGGAAAATGTCGAATGCTAGAATCACGATGTCGGCTGGCTTTAATCATGTGGATACTCTGACACTAATAGAGGTAAAACACCATAAAGACAACGTACGTATAGAAGTGAGAATACAAGAAAGTTTACACTTGAAGAAATTATGCCTGTACGTATAATATCTATCACTCGTCTATGGCCCGGCCTTACTTGTTTTATTTACAAGCTTTTTATACGCGACGAATTTGCGAAAGCAGGTAATTTAAATACTGAACCCTGAATAAACACAGATAGACGTGCACCACAAACCCTGTTGTGACGTCCATCATCGATTGTTTTTACTAGCAGTACTAAGCTTTCCCTTTTAAAGGCAAACGGTTTTAGTCATTTATCGTTTGTGTAGATGAATGTTATTATAGATCCGACAATTTTTTTAGTTGTAATTAGTATGTGATGGCAGACCAGTAAATGACATTTATTATCCAGGAGAGCAAGCTCTGTGCTCGCCTATTTTTCATAAGACTAACTAATTTATGGATTGAAACAACTTGTAAATTTTAAGCAATAGCAGTCACAGAAGTATTAGCATGATGTTATAAATGTCTGTCAGTATTAATTTGCTCAGTTTACTTCGGCAACGCGGCCAGCCTTTGTTTAAAAGCGTCTAACATTTGCCCGTGTGACCATATTTACCTTTGATCGAAATTAAGCTAGTCGAAAGCGTCGCCACAACAGTGACCTATCCAAAACGTGACTAGGATATGCCCATACCGTCAGCTTCTTCTGTAACATCCCTGTTTTTCCACTCAAGAAGTTGGATATTGCAAAGGGAGAATTTTTAAACGCATGTAACGTCCTCGGCAACGGGAGGGGTGCATGGAATGTAAAGGCAACTTTTGTTTCATTTTATCTGACGGGGTCTTTCAAAAGCACAATGCTAAGGATATGCAGTATAGAAGCCAAATATCTACGTTAAGAAGAAGTTGCATAGTATAGTGAATGGCATAATGGATGCTTAAATTCCTGAGGAAAGAACGGAGCTTGAAAGAAAGGAGCTACGAAAAAATGAGTGATAATGTAATTGTGTGCGCGTCCTTTACCTTCGCTACAACGGACGAAGTCCTTAGTGGAACTTGCTTACAATATTCGGTCCTGCTAGATCCAGCGTACCGCTTGTACTAGCGGAGCACGCGATTCAAATCATAGCCTGAGGAGACGCAGCAGCTATGCCCTTGAGGATGACCAGCAGCTCGCTCGCTATTCGTGTAGTAATTCCACGAAATTGTAAGCAATTTGTCATCACCGTCGTCATCCCCCTTCTCAGCTTTTTTACCTCTCCCCACCACACCACCTGCATCCTGCTCAGCCTCTGCGGTGGCTTCCGCAAAGATCGGCTCGTCGATCAGAGTCTCAATGGCAGTTAGACTTGCATCAATCTTAAGGTACGTAGCCGCGTACATCGTGTCATGGAGCTCGTCATAATAAATCGATCAAAAAACGCCAAATCTTCCTGAACGGGGTTGTGATCAGGTTTGATGTTGTCGATTTGGCAAAGGCGCTGATCTCCATCAGCGTGTCCTGTCTGTGAAGGAAACCAGCCTTCTGCCAGCATTGAAGATCTTGGTAGCCTTGACGTCGTACCACGCATTACCCTAGCGTGTCGATGGCCTTCTTGATGTTAAACATGTTGCAGCCAGCCAAAGATTGATTTTCATCACGTTCGTATTCGTCCAGCAAGTGCTCGATGTACCGGGACTTGTACTTGACCTTGAACTTGGCGATATTACAGTCATCAGCCGGCTGAATATGCGACTTTGTGATAAGGGCATAAAAATCAGTAGAGTAATTGTCGGCATTTGGTGAAGACACAAGGATGCAAATTTTCGACGAAAAAAAAAGGTATCTTCACGTGCGTCAGCCAGACCTGGTGCTCCTTGGTTTCGGGAGGAAAAACATTGTCATTTAGCAATAAAATTAGCGATCCTGTTGACAGCACGTTGCGTTAATCTTCAGCTTGTATTTTGTGAATGTGTTGTCCCGCGTCTGGGCCTTCTAATCGTAAAAGTAGTCGATGTGAGGGAGGGCGCTCATGTCAACGTGCTTGTAATAGCGAGTATGTGCTGCCGTTCCGATCACAAAAGGTTTCAGCTTTCCCGTTTAAATGCAAAGAGAGGTAAGTGAGCGTAAATACACTTTAATGGCATGCTAACTACTGAGGTTCAGCTGCGCAATGAAAATTGTATAGCAAGAAGACAGTGATCCTAGTCTTTTCCCTCTTCGTCCCATTCTCCGGAGCCTGGCCCAGAGTTTTGTTTGGTGCCATGGTAGAATAGCCCGGTCTCGTCGCAGCTGAAGATATCCTTGGGAGACAACGCGCTGTTGTCACTTGGAAAGCTGCACAAAATCAGCAAGGTCTCGAACTGGAGCACTTTCGGCCTCCTCATGGAGCAAGTATGGATCGATACAGTGACGTTTCTCATACGGTGAAAGCCACCCGTTTAAAGCAGCGAATTCCGTCTAATCTTAATTTAAGGTGCCCAAAGGCTAAGCAAAATAAAAAGGCCCTTGTCGACGACAAGAGCATCTGTCATGTAACGTGGTCTGTCAAGGCTTGCGTGAGCCAAGGTTGAACATTTTTGTCGATTGGCATGGATGATTCCATTATAACCTGTATATTGCATGTTAAATGATATGACAAACGCAGAAGCTAACATGTTTGGTACCTTAATATATTCACGGTCACGCAACCTTTTACGGACACCCGCCTGAGACGATTTTGCCTGCTTAGCAGCCTCAATACATTTGTCTTTCTGGTACGAGAGGCCGGTAACGATTTCATGTTGGATGATACAAATCGAATCAAACATATTGTGGGTGGCTGCTGCATAATGATCCTGATACTCACAGATGGCTCATTAGTAGCTAGTGAGGCTGTTTGACGCATGGATCATTGCGGTGATGGAAAAAGTGTGGGTGGATAGGGTGATCTAGGGTGAGGTGAAATTTGAGAAAAGCTAGAGGGGAATGTAAGGGGGCCTTCCCTTGTGTGTTTCAATTTTCTTTCTCATTTTCGTTGTGTATAGAATTGATTGATCAAATCTTTGTAATGTAATCTGGATTTTTGGCATCTTACTGAATGAGAAATGCAGCATTTACGAGTGAAATATGACAAGCTCTTTAACGTGTAGATATTGTATGTATGCGGATTTAATCAAGGGTTTACCGACAAAATAAGATGACTCCTATAGACAGAAGGATGTTACAGAGGGATGAAAAATCTAACGAAGATCCGCCCCGGGGGAAAACGGGTATGTAGTTAAATGATGTTGTATATGAAGCTGAATGCATACCTATCAGGGGGACAAGTCGGGTTCACCGAGCTGAGTTATTTACAAACAGAAACACGGACAGACATATTGAAACGCACATCGATAAGTACGAATTAAACTTTTGGCATTTTACTTGCATACAGTCACTGATAGCTAACCATTTTGGCTCACAATAATTGTAGCCGTTATCTGATCAAAACGTTTTGCAGATATAGCCAATCAGGATGATAGGGTCAGGGAATTGGTGTTCTGACTCTATTTCTAACATTTTTGTCGAGAAAAAAATTTAAACGAATATTGTAGGTGACATACGTACGCCAAGTCACAGGTGTATGATACTGCACATTAAAAAGACCTCGACAGTTTTTAAATCAATCAATAAGAGGGGGCGTTAAGCATCCACCCCTATGCAATAGAAATCTATCCACTCACACTTACAATGCTCTAATTGGTCGATAAAAATGTAGCGAACAATCCCCGATTTTATTAATGGTAAACTACCTTGCCGGTCCCTTTTCAAAGCTTAAGTCAGGTCCCACAACGGAAACAGCCATACGAACGTGATGACTTTGTAAAGATTAAGTAGCAGTATTTGTTTTCAGTAGCGTATGAGCAGACAATTTTCTTCAATGGTGCGTCTGGGCAAATTTAAGCTCATTGTATACCTCAACATAACATCGGAGAGTAGAGTAAGCAGACAGCAATGTAAAAATTAAATTTTACGTTATAATGACTTACTGAAATACAGCGGTGGTCATTAAACTCCTCAATAAGCACCTGCTGTCTCCTGATTTAGCACCTTGGTATTTTAGCAGCCGCACAAAAATCTATGTATAGATAAATACACATGTATCAGTCGATGTTTCATCCATTATTTGATGGCCACATGCGTGCTTTGCACACTCGACATCTAAATGTGGCCAAATGCATCTTATTGCGGAAAAATACCAATTCAAACCTCTCCTTGTGCACCAGTCAGGTTATCTTGCAATTACGCATTACTTAGGGTAGAATTTGCCCATCTTGTATTGCCTAAAAAGTCCGAATTTCACAGTCTGTTAAGATAAGAACTGCAAAGCCTTTTCAAAAAAAGTGAAGCAGATTTTGGTATCGTTTAAAAATGGTGACACAAATGGATCATAAAAATCTTTACAAAATGTTTCCCTAGCTACTACGTGTATTATGTTTGGCAGAATAATTTTTTGCTGATATGCCACCTGCACCGGATCAAGTTTGTATTGGGAAACGTGTCCACAAACTACTCATAAGCGCAAGCTCACGCGATCGCAAATATGACGTCGTTTGTGTAGAGGTACTATAGTTCAAAACAAGTCCTGAAGTTAAAAAATGCAGTGGTAATATGCAGCTGTCTCATTCTGCGTGAAGCAGTACGTGAAGGCAAAGCTCTGGTGAGATGCTGTGACACCGTTAACATATTGCAGAGGCATTCTGGGCCTTTTCATCGTTTATGTTTAATCCAGCATCCACACTTTACCAGCTCAAACCTTTTAGCAAATCTCGCAGGCACGAGGTGATACAACTAGCACGTGAGTAAGATTATGTAGTGTTAACTACTCAAAAGGGTCAGCTATCATAATTGATATTGTCCAGCAGAGCTGTAATGCGTGATCTCCCGTTCAGTACCGTGTTCTCTTCCTTTTTCAAAGGTTAAAAACATCTCGACCATTAAGCGTGACTCCTGCATTCAATTTAAACGTGGTAGTTATACGGCTGGTAGGAATAAGTGCGCACAGCATCTCTTATACATCTAAAACACTTTGCGCGTGTTCTGATGTGAGTGCACTAAATCGTCCTTACAGATGAGCGCTCAGATGATCGAGAGTCTTGCGGTGTGTTCGGCGGTAGTAAGTTTAACAAGCTTTTCTTGTAATGGAAAGCGTTTAATGGCTCTGTTTAAATAGAATTTGTTACTGATAAAATAAATTTATTCTTCTATTTTTTTCAAAAAGTTAATATTTTTTTTACTTAACGTAGTATTTAAATTAGTTCACAACCAAATTATTATTCCATTCTTCATTGAAGTATCCTTATAAATTGCTTTAATGTAATTCTGTAGTGAAGAGAGAAATTAACTTTATTTGCGCCTTCATTTTTTTTAATATATTAAATTTGTCTGTGTGATTTCAAAAATGATTGTAATAACAATAATAATTCAAGGGACAAAATAGTCATACTAATTTTTGTCGATCTAAGATCACACCAAACGATTTTAGACACAATAATAAGAAAGAAAAATCAATGGTTTTGGTTAAGTTTTATTAAAACGGCCAATCAAAGCTTATTAAAATGCTTGCAGTACATAAACCAACATAAGGTAAAAGGTAAATACTTACCAGCCTAAACGCATTAATTGATTATAACGATATCGAGGCAACGGGTCTAGCTACTACAAACTAAATAACAAAAAGTATACCTTAATACTAAACAATTAGAATTGAAAGAATAAAATTTTTAACTCCAAGTAAAGATAGCCGCTCATCCGGCTTGGCCTCATACGCTCCGTTGACCACTGCGCACAACAATCACATTCAATTCTGAGCACTGATAGTGTACAACCCTAACGTAACCTTCTTTTCTCCTGCCAACCCTCTTGGTAGGCTTTGTATTGATTACATGTCCCTATGTCGTTGCATGGGTATTTTAATTAGCTTATGCTTGAGCAAGAGAAGCATGTGCCAGTGTCAGAAGGTTTTTGGGCGTTAATTTAAAAAAAACTGTGGGAAAAATAATTGCTGGAAGCAAAAGGTGACTATTCGTATTTACGTGATAATGGTGTTAATCGATCGTTTTAATCCCTTGTCTGAACAATCAAGAATTTGAAAAATTGCTGCAATTCTCTTAAAAGCTAATCATACACTGAAAGTGTGAGCTGTCGGGTGTTTAAAGCGAAAAGGATGAATACTACACGCCTACCTTATTTTTAAACAAACCTGAGGTAACAGACTACATGTAGGTTTTCAAATATTGTCTAATAAGGAAGGGTAGCAATGAAAGGGAACGGGTGTGATTTTACCCATAAGGGTTCTTTAGGAGTCCAGTACTTTATATTTCATGCCCCTATTCAGACGATTACTTAGTATGTCTCTTTTCTGGATGTACGTATCCGTCTT